ACCCTTTAAATTATCCTTAGGTTAAAGAGGGAAAAATTAAAATTACAAATTATTTTAAAAGTAAACAACAATGAAAGTATTAGGTACCAAAACTGTGGAAAACTATCAACACAGTATCAGAAAAAAAGAATCTATTACCTCAAATGTATTTATTAGAAAACAAAATAGAAGCTATGTGAAGGGAGATTACAAACCCCCAAAAAGTAGGAGACAGAAATTAATAAAGGAAAAAGAAAAGAAAAAAAAAACACCTGAGAAAGGTACGCTGATTAATAAAAGCAAAAGCTGATCCCTTAAAAGGACTAATATAATAACAAATATCTAACAAGTTAGTCAAGCCAGTGGGGGTCGGGGTGGGGAGAGACACCAAAAAGTAGCATTAAGTCAGATGAAAGGAAATATTAGAGATGCAGAGAAGTCTCCTAAATTATAAGAGAATAATATTTCTTCTAATCAATTTGAAAATCTAGATGGCTCTACCGGTAGGTGGCTCAGTGGTTGCGTGTCGACCTATGAACCAGGAGTTCAATTCCCAGTCAAAGCACATGCCCTGGTTGTGGTCTCAGTCCCCAGTAGGGGGAGTGCAGGAGGCAGCCAATTAAGGATTCTCTCTCATCATTGATGTTTCTGTCTCTCTCCCTCTTCCTTCCTCTCTGAAATCAATAAAAATAATTTTTTGGAACACTGACTTAAATTATCCTAGTCTCAATATCTTCATCTGTTAAGTGGGATGATAGTAACCACACCTCTTGAGATCGCTCCAAAAAGTAACAGCAAGGTATCTTGCAAGCAGCTATAAGAGGCCTTGATTTGAAAGCTCCGAGATTCTCTTCAAGAAGTTTTCGAGCTCAGCCATCTGGCAGAACTAAAATAAATGAAATCTCCATCCACGGCTTCAATTGAATCCATATATCTTATAACTTATGGTAATGGTTACAGCAGGAGCTAGAGAATAATTCAAACGAAGGAATAACATATTTAGTTGTTGGCTCTTGGGTGAGACCTCCTGGGTTTGCTCATTTCCTAGAGAGGCAAACTTGAGAGAGGCATTTATCTTCATTAACCCCAGTTTTTGCATCTGTAAAGTGAGGATAATAGTGCATCATGTGATGATGAGAATTCACTGAGATAATCCATGTGAAGCACTTAGCACAGAGCCTGGCGCATAGAACATTCGCAGAAAACTCAGCCCCCATCACCATCCTCATCATCTTCGTTATCTTCATTCATGACACGTCCTCCGTTATGTCACTCAATCGCCCTGACCTGGGAAGATCTCAGCACAAAGGCTCCTAATTGAGAGACAGGATAGGAGCCTCTCCTTCAATGACGTGAATAATAACTGAAACCTCCGTTTCCCTTTCAAGAAGGTAATCTTATCCGTGGCAAGTAAACAGCTTTCTCACCTTGCCCTTCACACAGAATCTTATTGGGGAAAATTTGTTCAACCCCATCAGCCTCAAAGTCCACCATCTTTGAATGGGGAGAGGTGAATCAAAGGGTAGTATGTTCACTCCCTTGATAGTTAGGATAAAGAAGGGGGCAGCTTATGAACTGCAAGCACCCTGCAATCACAATCTAGGTCTCTGTCTCCAAGCAACAGAAAACACAGGCAGCAATTACAGGCTGTTGCTTTTTTTGTGCTTGACACTTTCCTAAGCACATCAGCAACCATGCCATGAGGAGGGCAGAGCAGGAACTATGATGCCTCATACGAGGCTCAGAAAAACTAAATGATTTTTCCAAAGTCACAAAGCTAGTAACCAGGAGGAATCAAGACAGGGTATTTCTCCCAGGCTTTCTCTCACATACATTGGGAAAGAAATCTCAGAATGGATCATGCCCTAAGCTATTTTTAGAAATTCTCTGATTGTTCATTGATTCTTTAATGGGAATGAGCTGAGAATCAGCTGAGAACAAGAATGGTACACAAACCCGCCATCATGAGAAAGGAAGCCTGGGGTGGGGTTGGATGGAGAAAAGAGGAGGAGAGGTGGTTTCCTAGACAAACATCTCAAACTCCATAGTTTTCCTGAAGATGAGATCTGACCATGCCAAACCCACCCATTTGCAAGCTCTTTTGGATCTGGTCCTAGACCAGGTCCCTAGGGGACTTATATCTCCAATGGCCAGCACTGTGCTGGGCACAGAGTAAATTCTCATACAGTTTTGATGAATGAATGAATGAATGAATGAATGAATGAATGGTTTTGTCTTTCACGTGGTCATTGCCCTCACCTTCAGTTTTCTCCCTACTTCCTCTTTGATCTCTCTAGCTGGGCTCAGTGTCAGGGCTCCTAATCAAGAAGGGAATTAGCCCAGTGAAGGCCTCACCTTGGCCCAGCATAGAGTGCAAGCAGCTCTGGCCCTAGGACAGCAGTTTTCAGTTGAACCAAGCTAAGCAGGTTTATTGCTCATTCCTCTCAGACACATCAGATTTGACATTTCTCCCAGCAGAGGGATTTCTTGTTGCAAACGAAATGGAATCAATACAGTTTTATTAACCATTCAGTGTAATAAATTTGCTCCAGATGACAACCTCTAAGCCTGTTTCTTGCCAATCCAGCCTGAGTCTGAGATACAAAAGGAATGTGTCCAAGTGTTATTCACTCCTCTGGCCCCACTCCCACCCTCCAGCCCCCATCCTGAGCACCACCTCCCCAAACCCATCCTTTATCACCTCTGCCTGAACTTCTGCACAGTCTCTTAATCATTCTCCGGGGCTCCAGGCTGTCTCCCCTCCAGCCTTTCTTCACCTGATCTGTACACTTCCCCCTTCCTGTGGCATTCACGGTCCTTCACAATGTGGCCCCCCATCTCCTGACTGATTGCTCACCACTCCTCCCAATATCCTACAGGTCAAAGGAATCGTTCTCCAGACAGCCCATGAACTTCCCCAGCTCTGGACGCTTGCTCTTGCTAGTTCCTCTGCCTAGCATGCCCTTCCCTACTCCTTTATCAGAACTCCCGACTCATTTTTCAAGACCCACTTCCTCTGGAAGGCTTTCCCTAAAGGCCCCAAAAAGAAGCAGTTACTCCCTCCTCCACGCTTTCTTGGTATTATTTTATTTATTGCCTGATACCTGGGACATTCTATTTTAATTTACTTATCTCTTCTCCCACTTGTAAACATCTCTAAGATGGGTATGGAGTGTTGTTCAACATTTAGACATCCTTGAATACCCCATGCCTACCACAGTATCTGAACCAGGCACACAAAAGTGTGTTGACCTGCACCAAAAAAGCTAATAGGATTGTCCAAATCTCTGGAGAACTCAGGAGCTCTTGGTTCAGGCAATTCACATGTTGCAGCTGGTCAGAGCCATTGAAAGGTAAGGAACACCTTCATAAAAATATCCAAATTAGTGAAACTTTTTAGAGTGCAATATAGCAACATATCTCAACATTTCAATGAGCAGACTCTTGGACCTGGACATTCTACTTCTAGGAATTCTTCCTATAAACATTCTCACATACATGTACTAAGAAATATCAACAGGAATGTTCGAGTGCAGCTTTGTTTATAATAGCAAAAAAGTTGGATACAACCTAAGTACTCATTAATGGGAACACTAGTTAAAAGGAAAATGTTTTACCTATCCCATGTAATAATACTAAGCTACTAACAAAAATGAAAAGACCTAGATGAACTAACCTGGAAAGCTGTCTAAGATACAACGATAAGTGAGAAAAGCACATTGCAGCACAATGGAAAGGCAATGAGCCAAACTATTGACAGTGGTCATCTTTAGGACATGGTATTAAAGAATCATTTCATTCTCGCCCTAGCCAGTTTGACTCAGTTGGCCCGCAGACTGAAGGGCCCAGGTTTGATTCTGGTCAAGGGTGCATGCCCAGGTTGTGGGCTCAATTCCCAGTAAGGAGCGTGCAGGAGGCAGCCAATCAATGATTCTCATCATTGATGTTTCTATCTTCCTCTCCCTCTCCCTTCCTCTCTGAAATCAATAAAAACATATTTTTTTAAAAAGAATAATTTCATTCTCAACCTACAGATTCCCATACTTTTATTTCCAGGCAAGCAATCCTATATAATAAAAGCCTAATATGCAAATTGTCCCCTCGACTGGGAGTTCGACCACTCGCTATGATGTGCGCTGACCACCAGGGGGTGGAGCAGAACATGGCAGGCGTCGGCAACGCAGAGCTGGCAGTGGGTAACAGTGAAGGCACTGCCAGCCCCAATGGGCCCTGACAAGAGCGGGACCATGGTGGAATGGTGGAGCAGATGAGTGGGCAGTGCCAGGCCAAGGTGGGTGCGAGTAGGGCCCGATCACCCCACCAATCTCCCCACAGATGGCGACCAGTGGCGGTGGTGGGGGGCAGGGCCGCCACCCGGCTCCCAGGCACTGAGGGAGCTGGGTGGGGGCCCAATAACTCAGGCAGAGGTGGGCACATGGGGGCCTGGGGGCCCAGGTGCTGCCCAGGCCCAGAGGTCAGCTGGGACCTGCCCTTCCACACCAGACGCTCGCGCTTCAATCACTGGCCAGGCCTAGGGACTGCACCGTGCACAAATTTCGTGCACTGGGCCTCTAGCTCATTTGTAATTCAATACATGCTTTTATTTTTTTTAAGCAGAAGTCCCACCCTCCAGCTTCCCAACTGGATGCTTTGTAAGATGAGCCCAGAGCTGTTCACAGGCTAGAAAGGCCAGAACCTGCTTCTCTGCAGTTGCTCCATGAAGGAGGCACAGCTCTTCCTGCTGCTCCCTCCCAACTGCCAATCACACCCACTTCTGCTGATGCTGGAGACGGGGGTA